GTCCAGCTGCGGCTCCACAACGCGCTTGACCAGCACTCAGGAGCAGGGACAAGGCTCCCCCTCCTCCTCAGATGCAAGCGGAAGATCCCAGCGCCGATCACACCCCGCCTCCCAGCCACTCCCTCTGCCCTGCCCCTGTCCGGCGCCCCGCCAGAAAATAACGGATATTGCACATGTCTGGTATTTTCTAAATTTTTTTACTAGACAAAGGCCCCAAAACTGGACTGTCCGGTACAATACCAGACACCTGGAAACCCTAGTTGAAACTCCAGTTTTCTGGCCAAAAACAGTTTTAATGGAAATTTTTCCACTTATCAGCACTCACTTGATCCAATACTTGCTTGCATACAACAGAGATAGGGCTTGGGGAAGTTTTTCAGGAATGCAAATGTCATTGTCATGTTTGCAGTGTTGTTGCTTTCAAATGAACTCCCACTGAAAAATGGTGAAAGATAGAAACACGATGTCACTTGTGGCCATGTTATAGAAAACAATCATTTCATATCTGAAACAAAATACAGGACTATGTAGCACTTTAAAGACTAACAAGATGGTTTATTAGATGATGAGCTACTTCATATCTGAAATCTCAGTCCCCATCCTCATGGAAAACCTGTATAACATGCTAGACACAAACTTTCATGGTCATAATAAAGACACTGGATTAATGGCATATTACAACAATCTGTAACCTACTAACCTCCCTTTTTTGTCCTGTGATTGCTGTGTGTTATCAGGCCACTTCATCTTGAATGGTCTCTTAGAATAGGTGTTAAATTCTGATGCTAAACAGTCTGTTCCACTTTACATTTAACTGTGATTCTCTGACTACCCTTCCCAGATCTGAGAAGCTCTATGTGGTAGCCCAAGTGCTTGCTGTCTCATCAACGTAGAAGTTGGTCCAATAAAATATATTACCTCATCTATCTTGTCATTGTAATGTAGTTTTCAGTCATTGAAAGGATTATTAAATTTTTGTCTCATACAAGTCTAAGATTAAAACCAAAGTTTGTTCATCCTTCCCATATAAAGAAAATAAGGGATGCCAAAATGTGGGACTAATAGTGGCACAAAACGAAAACCACATTTTGTTACATAATAGAGCTGACCATTTTTGAACTAGCTCAGCTTTGTATGAATTACAGATGCAAAGATGTTTTGTTTGAATTCATGCTACAGCTTTCCAGAGCAAGAGCAAATAATTTGTGTGTCAGAGTAATTCAGATTTTATTCAACAGCAGAAACTGAAGGAAAGAACAGATTTCCAGTGAGGAAGCTCTTTGTAAGATATCTAGTCAGAACTCAGCTGTAACTATATGTTTAAGGTTTATAATCTAAAGACATTTATGCCACCATATAAACCCTTTGTTTATCCTATCATGTTGTCTGGAGTGGTTCAGAGTCCCCTTCTGACCCCAGGCTCCATGCTGCGTTGCCGCTTTGAAATGCCACGCAGAGCCGGGGTCAGCTGGGGACTCCCCAGCTGATCCCGGGCTCCAGCGTGGTATTTCCATGGAACCCAGGATCAGCTGGGGAGTCCCCAGTAACCCCTGGTTCTGGGGAAATGCCGTGCAGAACCCGCGGTCAGCTGGGGAGTCCCCAGCTGATCCCGGGTTCCGCTGAAATGCCATGCAGAGCCTGGGATCAGCTGGGGACTACCCAGCTGACCGTGGGTTCCACACGGCATTTCCCTAGAATCCAGCATCAGCTGGGGACTCCCCAGCTGACTGCGGGTTCCGCACAGCATTTCAAAGCTGGCACCCATCTGCAGCCCGGATTCAGCGGGACCTCCCGCTGGCTCCAGGCTGCACGCAAAGTTCCACATTCCTCCTTTGAAATGTACAAAGGAAGAATGCGGAAGTGCATATCGACTAGTCAATGGAAATTCCATCAACTACTCGACTAGACAGTTAACCGTTAGTTAATACTATTTATATATTTTTGTTTGTCTCTAAGGTGCTACAGGACCATTGTTTTTTAACCTTATGGCAGACTGTCAAAAGCAGGGGAGAGACCCCAAACTGATTGTGTGTTCTACAAATAGACTGCACCGATCCAGTAACAAATGTGAGCTCCTAAAGAACAATAACTATTTTTCCCTGGAGTCAAACACAGAATCCTTGAGCCTTCCAGTCTATCCTGACATCCAGGCAAGTGGACTTAGTGGACTGATATTTGCCAAAGATCACAAAAGATTCAGGTTTCTCCCAGTCGCAAGAGACTAGACACTTATCCCAGGTCAATTTGTACCTTACATCTCTCACCAAAAACAACTTTAGATAAAGTATCCTGTAATAAATTAACTAAAGATTTATTCAATAATGAAATTAAGGTTTAAAGCAGGCAAACAAATACACAACTGAGTTGTTTCCAAAGGTGACAGAATTGTAGCCATCTATCAACTCTGAATGTCTTTTAGAACTAACTCAGGTTGACTTGAGGACCTCAGCTTCTGCTTCAAAGCTATGGCCCAGTGAGAGTCCACACAGCAAAGAGATGAACAATTTTTGTCAGCTATTTTTGTTTTTTTCTTCCAGAATTCAAGCTGATGGGATACATCCTTTTGCACTTAGCTGCTTCATGGCTCTGAAGGGACGGTTAACAAATCCTTTGCATTATGATGTCCTACAATGCCCCATTTCGTTTTGATATCCTTTTTGGTGATCAGGAGATGATCCCTCCTAACAGGTTCACAGTTAGAGAGCAAACATCCTTTAGTATCACAGGACAATTTAAATATGACATTTTAGCATGGGATAAAGATATTGTGTGAGCTTAGTGCATGCAGCAACTTACAAGCATTTCACAAAATTTCAACACTAAACACACTAAATGTACGTCTACACTGCATCCCTAGTTCGGACTAGGGATGCAAATGGAGATGACCAAAGTAGTTAATGAAGCGGGGATTTAAATATCCCGCGCTTCATTAACATGATCTCGCCGGTGCGCTAGTTCGAATCACAGCTGATTCGAACCAGGAAGTGCGCGACTGGACGCGTTAGTTCGTACTAAAGCCCTTAGTCCGAACTAACGTTACTCTTTGAGGATAACTTCCTTCTTTCTCTCCCTGCCCTTTCCATTTACTATACTTGAAGAAACAAAGGAAACAGCCATTGGGCTCTGGAAGAGAGGTCCTAACCTAAAGAGTTTGGTCAGTAATACTGGTGAGGGAACTCTGTGTTGACTCTAATATGGCTTATTAAGTTAGGTAGCAGTAATTGTTTTAAGCTTTATTTTTCTTTTAGCCATTATGACTTTTTATGCCTCAGAATTTGAATGTTAGTATACTTAATTAGCTTGTTTAATCTAATCTAGTGTGTGTTCAAAGTGAAATGTGAGGATAACTCTGTTTTGGGTAACAAGTTCTGTACACATTATTCCTATAAGGGTATGTCTAGACTGCACTCTAAATTTTGGGTAACAAGTTGTGTACACATTATTCCTATAAGGGTGTGTCTAGACTGCACTCTAAAAACGAAATAAGATACGCAATTTGCACTATACAAATTGCATATCTTATTTTGATTTTATTTTGAAATTTGGTGCGTCTACACGGTGCCAAATTTTGAAATAAAGACCTATTTCGAGACATCCCTTGTTCCTCATGGAACGAGGTTTATAGGAATGCCAAAATAACATATCTGGGACAAAGAGTGTTGGGGAGTC